AACTCAACTGCGCGCTGATAAAATACAAACTCGATCTTACAGTAGGAATTTGCAACGAGTTTGTTTATGAAATTGTGGGAGATTGGCTAATGCAGATAACTCTTTGTAACTGCGACAGAATATATTTTACGTCATATTCCTTTATAGTAAATAAACAACAAATGATTTACGTCGTTTCCGCGGAATGTTTAAGAATCATTCGACTTTTCTTGAAAATTGCGCTTTGAAATTTTTGCCTCGTGCATGTGTGAAACATAACAAAGGAAAACGCAGCAGGATTACGCTCGATGTCGAGACGTCAGCGAATTATTGATTCAAATTGCAAAATACAGACGCGCGGTAAACCGACGTCAAATTGAAAAGTTCCGGTGAACGAATACTCGAGAGTTTTCGAAAATACGGGCACGAATGGGCAAAAAACTCATTTCAGACATTCACACGAAAGCGCAGACCTTCCGCCTCCGCGTAAATCAGGACGAGCAGCGACACGTAAACAAACGGAAATAATTAAATAATTAACGTATCGCGATCCGCGAGACGTCTCGGCGAGCGAGCGACCGTGCGAGAGGTTCGAGCTGCGTCGAAATCAGCGGTGAATCGCTTCATTCAGTCCCCGTTTCCGCGGAGGAGAGGTAAATTTGTTGACCGATAATTAGCACAGGGTAACTAACGGCCCACTCCGCCGTCGAGAGAGCAGAAGGCGCTCGCGCCGCTGCGAGAGCAATAATTTAATATATGCGCGTGGACGGGCACGTTCTCGCAGGTGCGAAGTGCCTGTGAGTGCCAGGATACAGAAATAGGTGGTATACGGTCGGGCGTACGTACGTACGTACGAACGCGTAATCGTGTTATACGCGGTATATGTACCGGGCGGTACGATCGGACGACGAATACGACGACGACGATGATGACGACGACGAGCACGACGGGCCCGACTGGAGAGCCAGGGTCCCGCTATCCGGTCGGCCGCTAGGCCGAGGTGAACGAACCTGAGCCCGCCTACTGACTTTACCTGCCAGCTTCGAAGAGAGCCCAGGCTATCTCGCCGTGAACGAATACGAGGAGCGAGCCAGGAAAAAGGACGACCACCGGAGAGCGGTCGGCCCTCTCGCTCGCACTAAGAGTTCCCTCCTCACCTACAAATTTATTCGACGCCTCGCACCCGTCAGTCCACGCGACGCTACGAACCGCCCGTTGTTTTCCAACGGAACCCTCCTCTGACAACTTTTGAAATATGTTGGAGAATCACCTTGTTTGTACGGCGTGTCGCAGACGGTACGCATGAGTATTGCCTTTTTTCTCTATTGATTTTTTACAGCATTTTTTAACACACAGAATTTTACAGAATTTTATAACACACATATATATATGTATATATATATATATATATATGGAATAAATAAGGACGCGAATATATGTAACTGTCACTTTCTTGGTATTGCCCATCGTCTTAGCTGTCGTGACAATAAATTCGATACGCCTCGGCGTAGCAACAATCGATCAATTGTGCGTGGCAACGTCACGTCTAGACTCCAACGCAAATGAAACCACTGCAATCGTGTGCGTAACTATTAAGCTAATGGTTAAGAACGCTGGCAAAAAGAAACCGAGGTCTCTCACCGTGGATATTATATTGCAATTGATATATTATTTATAAATAGGAACCGGTCTTCCCCGCGAAGCTTGTCATTGCCGATGTTTTATAAGTGCTGCTATTACTTGCTACCTTTTCGCCCGCCACGTCACGGTAACTTTGTTACGTTTTCTTCCCTCTCGTTGCACTCGTTTTTCCAGCGGTTCGTTCTTCCGTCAATCGACCGCCGTTGTCTATTCGCCAATCATGGCTCCGTGAGTTTCCGCCGATGCCGCTATACGATTTCGTATTCAGGAAACGTCGTTTCCTCCGACCGCGAAAAAAAAGCTGCCGCCTCGTGAGACTGAAATGAAATTTTCCCCGGGAAAACTGCGGAAAGATCAATTGTCACATTAATTTAACGTAATGAAAAATTAACGAACAGCCTGAATCTGTTCTTTTTCTTTCCCTCCCCCTCTCTCTTCCTTTCGTTTATTTTCTGTTTTCTAGTGCCGATCGTAAATCAATGTGACCTATAAAAGTTTTGCGGAGGCGATCCTTAACGGGACTTGAAATATAATCGACGAGATAATTAACTGTGCGCACTACACAAAAATGTCACGAAAGTCTAGACTACTAGCTCGTTATTTTACTTAAGGAAAAGAGAAAGAACGTGCATGTACGGTCGCGCATGTTTGGCGCGCGCGATCGATTAATTAAGTTTAATACTGAAAATTGAAAAGTCGCGTCCAATCAGATTTTTACTGAAGAGAGATCAGATCGGCTCTACATACGCCAAAGAATCACCGACTGTTCGAGGGAAAGAACTTTCTCGCCTTCTGCGCCCGCTACGGGAATCAGAGCTTGCAAACTCGCGGCGCTCTCGAGTACGAAGGTCGTTTCGTTGACCCACTGATTCGTTCCACTTGCTCCACCCACGGCCCGCAATGACGTATGCAAGCTTTTTGTAATTACAGAATGTCCGGATGCCGGAATTGATCAAAAGATCATTATAAATTAGCCCAGAAGTATAGTAACACTCAGCGAAGAAATAGCTATCCTTACCCATTTCAAAAGATCAATGTGATATAATTATCTTACTTTTTTTTAGATCATCAGATTATAATTCATTACTATATCAATTTATGATCGTCCTCATTGTTGCCTTTGTTATTTTTGTTATCGTTATTAATGTCGTTGTTGATCGTACGAAATTAACAGAATTCAAATATATATAAATAAAATAGTGTTTCTTTTTATCTTTAGCGTTCCTTTTATTTGCATGTGCGTACACGGGCGGTAAATGTAAATAGGTAAAGAGAAATCTGTTAAATTGCAAGAAAGAACCTACCGGTCGGGTTGATAAAACTTTAAATGGGCGACATACACTGAATTGAGTAACGAGTTCATCGCCGACATCAGAGATTTAATTTAGTCAATCGTCAACATATTGATATTTACCCTCTGACGCTGCCGGCATTATCTTCGCGATTGCGTGTATCACGTACGCTGCATGTGAGAGTGTGTGTGCGTGTGTGAACCGCGTGAACGAAAAAAAAAAGCTTCTCTTTAATGTCGCTCGCCAAATAACTTGACGCGGATAACAGAGTATCGTGCGTTTCGCACCAAAATACGCCGCTAATTAATCAATTAAAATTCTGCCTTGCAATCAGAATTTTCGCATTGGGGAAAACAGAAAGGAGAAATATACGAACTTGAATTCAGATGTTTTCATATCATGGGTATTGAAGTTCTCTTCAAAATCTTTAATATAAATCCAATTTCAGATTCTGTCATCGCGTCAAAAGTTGAGCTCCTTTGTTTTCCGTTTCTTTCAACATCTAACTTGGTTTGAATTCATATTACCATTTTTCCCAATTTTCCTGATATTTTTTCACCGTTTCACTTATAGAAAGACAATCTTATTCTTCAGTTATTATATTATTGGACTTTCAGCGAAGTTTACGTTCTCAACTCGCGATGCCTGAGAATCGTAGGTAATACAGAAGTGATGCTGCGCGACCGAAACATTTCCTCTTCGCCAGATGTTCCCGAGCCTCCATGAGGAATTCTCAGATATATAGGTCGTTTTCCTATGCGTTACCCTCTACCCGTGTCCTTAATACATTACCGGTTCCGTTCAGATAAACCTAGCCGCTCACAATGGATCATCGATCGGGCGTCAGCCTGGTTTCTCGATGCTCCCCGGGAAACATAATCAGATTGCTCTCTCCCCCTTTTCAGATTTCATGGCATCAACATTCCAAATTATACAGACTTGCACGAAAGTCCCAATTAAAGTATGTTTCATTTCAGCTTATGGAAGAACGAGCGATACTCAATGCCTAGCGAGGCGCAACGCACGCGGCCAACAATGCGTTAACCGCACGAAAAGCACGATTAATAGGTAAGATATGGAAACATGGGAGAAGCGTGGATTAACTGATAGAAAATTTGGTGATACTGTCGACTTCCCCGCGAAGTCTCTCTTTCGTGAAACCGGTTTCCGCCTCCTCTACCTCCTCCCCATCCCCCTCTCCATCCCCCGCAAACATCAGAAAAAAGTAAACGTAACCAATTGCACCACGGTAACGATGAGCAGCTAGTCAAGCTGGTATCCAAGCTGACGAAAAAAAAAAAAGTCGGGCCAAGGTTGACCTTGGTTCCGTTGGATAGCAGCTCCAGTCTTTGGAATAAGGATTTCCGCAAAATTTAATTTGGAAAGAAAGAAACATTTATTACCACTACAACGCGATCTATTTCTATCGTGCACCATCTCTTCTGCATAATATTTAAACGTAAATATCATTTTGGAAATTCTACCGCATTTCTCGTGGAAATTGTGCTTAACGTTATTTTGAATAATCCTGCTTTTAAATTGAATATTAATCTGAGATCGTACGGTGTATTTGATATTTCTTTGTCGTCATGTGTTGTGTCATTACGTTTTATTTGAATATGATACAAATGAGACATGTTTTGAAAATATACGTCTCATTTAAATCTAATTATTCTTAATCTCATCTTAATCTAGTTATCGTTACGCTAAATTGCCGAATTTCCATTACAAAGTAATTATAAGGTCACTATAAAGTAACGTTTTTAAGTCCCTCGAAGCGTTATTAAAAAAAAAAAAAGAAAACAATCTTAATGATTCCCAAATGTGCGGGGAATTGAAATGAATTGTCCGGCCACGAAGAGGCTCGCTTGAAATTCCAAATGATCCTCCTTCACTTCGTACAATGCTTGAAGAAGACCGTACGGTACTGGACGCCGACATTTTCGACGTAAATCAGTCCGGAAGTAATTTCGTGACGAGCATTTTCGTAATGAACAGGCTGCTTTCCTGGCGAAAGCGGATCCGTCGGCGGCAAAAAAAGTCGCAAGTTTGAAAGAGCAGCAAGAGACGCACGCGGAGGGTACTCACCCGATCTAATGGCCGTGACGTCAGTGACGCAGAGGAGGACGGCGAGCGCCGCCGCGACGGCGAGCATCGTCCTGGTAGTCCATCGCGCCCCGACAAAGTCCTGGGCAATTCCGGAAGCGCGTTCACCACCGGAAGGGCCAATGCGTGGCCGCGCAGCCATCGCACGCCGTCGTGTCTCTCCTTTTACTTCGTGTCTCGCTCTCTCTCTCTCTCTCTCTCTCTCTCTTTCTCGCGCTCTCTTTCACCCGCGCTCTCTCGGGGGAGAAGGGGTATCACAGACACGCACTTTGCACGCAGGTGTATGTCAAGTGTGTGTGTGTGTGTGGTGTGAATTCTCCGGTGATCCTCTCACACGTCCGCCGAATTTCCCGAAAACGAAGAAACCGAATTTCCGTCCCCACGCGCAAGAGATGCGCGCGCGTAGAGAGGCCGAATGCGAGGAGAAACGTAAGAGGGTAAATTTAAAAAAAAAATAAAAAACGACTACGCGGCACGAGCGAGCGCAATTCAAATCATGGCTCGTGCGTGCAACATGAACGCGGTCGCAGCCCGCGAGCGACTGACGCGGCGCGCCAGACGAATCGAACATGGCGCCGTCACGTCAGCCATCCCCATTCCCCGTGGCGGGGATGGTCGGTTCGTATACGTCGCCGGGGTTGGTACGAAAGAACGCGCGAGTCGAGCTCCAATTTGAACATTTCGGCGATTCGATCAATATTTACGTCAACGTGAAATATGATATATATTGAATATGATGATATCTCATGTTGCGAAATTATATTATGAAATATGATAAATGTGAAATATAATACATATAGTATTTTGGAAAGTTTACAACGTGTATTTATAGTTCCACCGTTGTAACGGCACGATTCAATGATTCCCGAGTAATTTGCAAAATATAGTTAACGAGATTGCTTACATCTGGCATAAACATCTTTTCTAACAATCTTCGCGCACATTATGCAGGCGAACGTGCGCTTTACAATATTCTTATCGTGTGTCTTACTTACCGCCGCTCTTTGTAACGACACGTACTGTTAATGTATTGATAATATTCGACGCATTGTCTCTCTCTCTCTCTCTCTTTCTCTCTTTCTCTCAGCACGTTGTAATCAAGTAAAATAACGATTTCATCTTTCCTTGTTAAAAGTAACATCTGTAAGAGATTTACAACATATAAACACATAGTATAATTAACATATATTAACATACTAATATTTTCAGCATATCAAACGTTAATATATAGTTGTATTGTGCAGTAAATATATAAGCTATAAGCATAAAAATAAGAGATGACAAAACATCGGATGTCTCTCGGCGAGTGAGCGTCGTTTTAAAAATTAATCCAATTTGGTAGTCACGAACGACGGTAATTTCTAACCTGCGAAATGAAAGTCGAAAGAAACGCGCGACTTTTCATGGGCCCAGTCCTAATTCAGACGGCACACGTTTTGTGCAATTACACGTCAAAAGAGGAAGAACGATTTCCGTGGAACTTTCACACGATGAAGGAGAAACGAGCAACGCCCGGTTTCTTTATTTCCCTGGTAGTTAAAGTATCTTTTATCTTAAGTATCTTAAAATCGGTTAAGCAAATCGGTCGCATGAATATTGAAAAATCATGCGGACAATCTACAGACGAACTTAACAATATGTTCGCTTTAATCTCTGCATTTCTCTGTGCATGTTCGATTTTTCTTATCTAAATTTACGTGCATTTGTTTACACTTAAGACGTGTTCGTCGCTCTCCTTTCTAATTCCACACTTTTTACTTTCGCGTCTCTCTGTGTTGTCTCCTTCTCTCCAAAAGTGAAATATTTATAACTGTAATTTCACATCATACATGAGACTCCATCCAGTCTATTCTAAACTGTTTGCGACGCACAAGCCGTTTCATATTTATACCTGCAATTTGCATATCATTAATTCGTGCTCCCGTCGCGCGATCGGATGGCTATTATTCGCAAACTGCGTCACAGCAGATCTGGATTCTCGGAGTGCTGGATTCTTCGAGAGCTCACCTTGAAGCGCTCCGCGCAGGCTGGCACGCGAATTTGGAAAATTCCGCGATGTAACTGAAAATTGCCGGGCTTCCTCCTTTTCTCTACGTCGGCGGGCACTTCATTACGGGAATATGCGAGAGCGAGCGCGACGAAAGACGCGACCGATCCATATGATGACCGGCCGCGTTCGATGACCGTCTTTAAATCCGGCGGGACGAACACGAGGAAAATTGTCGGAGATGATGCCACCGGTTGACCTTGCCGCCTGACGAAGCGCATTTTCAGACAAATTGGCTTAATTGACGTGCGTCGTATCGGGCTCCGTTGCGTTACGGAAGTCGAAGAACTTTGCAGAGCGACAGCGCAGGTATTGGTTTAATAATGGACCGATTGCCGGTGCATCGCCTATTTGTGCTACTTCGTCGAACATCAAAATGAACGTTTATAACTCCTTAAGGTAACGAAACCTTGGGTAAATCCGATTCCTCAAATCTCAGACTTCCGTGTTTCAAATGTTTATATCCTTGAATTTCTACAGCTCGCGAATCTCTCACATCTCCCGGCATCGCGGACATCTCGATTCGATCATTCGCCGGGATTCCTGTGATTATACCAATTCCCTCGAATTCCCTCACTTCCTGGACTCTGCAATCTTTAATTCTCCGGGTTATTACATTCGGCTCTCGGGTTTCACAGAGCTTGAATTACACGGAATTCTGGGTTAGTATTCGCGTTACCGCTCCTTGCAAATTGTTCAAGACGATCGTTTCGGGTAAAGTACGCCTGATATTCCGGAGAGGTGATTAGGATTCGGGTTAGGCCGATTGCGCTCGATCACCGTTAATGCGCACACGCCGCCCTTTCGCCCAGGGATTCCGCGGAAAGACCCATCCTTTCGACTCGGCCCGATATACGTTGCGCATTTTCTCGCGAACACGTTTATTAGCGACGAACGCCGCAAATGCCACAGCCGCTGCGCGACCTTTTCCATTGTCCCGCGACGTAAATGCGCTCGGCCGCTCGCTCGCTCGGTATCGTACAGTCCGGAGCGCCTCCGAGACATCCGGATCTCTCTCCGGACTGCTGAGTCTAAGGCTCTCCTCTCGGCCAGTCACATTCGTAAAGCGCAGAATCGAGTGACAATGTTGTCACAAATGTATGCGCGACAGGGTATCTCGCCGAGCTAACTTTCATCTGGGAATTCTTTAGCAGTTATACAGGAAATGGCTCTTCTTTTTTTTTTCAACAAGGATCTTAAGTTATAATTCAGTGAGCGTAGAATTCGCGAAAGACGTCGCAAAGACGTCCAAAAGTTGTCCTTGATCCTTCAGGCGTCTTTCGAGCATTCTTGCTCATTATCGGAAGCGAAATTTCACGGGGAAACTCCTAGCGCATCTTTGCTTAATTGAAAGAGAATATAAGATCTAAACGGGCAGTGAATAAGTAATCTATTGTCGGTGGGACCGGTCAATAACCCTGATGCAACCTACTTTAAGCGTTCACGTGTTGGAAGCGGCCGGAGGAAGTAATCTCTCCCGGAGTTGTTACTTCCGACGCGATCTGGCCTTGGAGAAATAAGATCGGCGATACGGTCAAAGGTTAAGTCGCAACTTCGCGACGCGCGGCATCAACTTCATCGTCGTCGCTGTTAAGTCCGCGCGGATATACGCGTGCGCACGAGTTGCGTGCGCGAGCGAATAGATGAGGGGCGAGCGAGACGAATGACGAGGGAGCGAGGGAGAGGGAGCGAGAGGGAGAGAGTACGAGCTGGTGAACGGAGCAGGAGGGTGGAGGGGGAGAAACGGGAGAGGGAGATGGTACTTAGTTATTTTGCTCGCGCGTTCGTGGGATTGGGTGTGGAGTTGTATGCGCGTCGGCCGGCTGGTACGGACAGGTACCAAATGCCACAAGGTCAGGACTCGTACACAACGTAGAGAGGCCTGGTGCACGATTCTCTCCTCTTTCGGCCCGGAGAACCTCAAGGACCGCGGCAAGAGAGGGAGGAAGAGGGAAGCGCTTCGCGACGCCACGCGTCGTATCGCGTCGCGCCGCGTATCGCCGTGACGAAATTGACCCGTTGACGACGCCGACGTTTACAAAAGCAAATAACTCCTGTGATACCCGCCGTAATGTCGAGTGCGCATCTTTACGCACCGCCGTACTAATGTATGCGTTAGTACATATACTTTGCGCAAGACGCGGCAGCGCCTCTGCAACTTTTCTCTCGATCGAGAGAACAGATGAAATCTTGTTGTCGATTTCAAATACACGCGTATATCGCACACAGGTGATCTAATAATTATTAATAACGTTCGAAATATTTTCGAGTATGTATCGAGTTACTTTGAACAAGCGAATTGCACGAAACTTTAACACAATGTAACAACTCTCATTTGACCGCACACTTTTAACAGGAAATGTGAGCTTCGGAAAGATATTTGAATGGAATATCGTTCGATATCAGTGCAATTAAAAAACTCAGTTAATTCCTGCAATATATATAAACAGTCTTTTTATTTATCAAGAATTATTATTAATGAAAAATTACATAGAGCAGTGCACATTTGAGGAGTGTTATATTCAATTAAAAAACATCAAAAATGTTAACTGCGAAATATGTGTACGAGCGTCTTAAAGTTAGTGTATTCAGTCATGATTAAAAAGTCACGCGATTTACCGGCATCATCGGAAAGTAATGTCGACGCCGGGTAGGCGTGACGTCAGGAGATTTTAATGCCGGGTCATTATTGCCGGCACGTTGTTTTTACAGGACATTTAACAGATTCGTCGCACGACTATAGCCTGAAGACTCTTGGTCCTGTGTTCAATTGTATGCCATTATATCTCACTCGTTCCTAAGACAATTATATTGTCAGCTATAATTGTTATGAATACGTAATTAACTTAGAGGAAGACTGATATAATTCCAAAGTTATTTCCTTTCAAAATTTTTTTACACAAAGTAATTCTAAAAAGATCTACTATTCTCTTTACGTCCATACTCTTAGTAAGACAAAATATTATAAGCTCGTTTAATAACTCGTTTAATAAAAAAGTGCTATTTTTCGAGATTGAAATATTCATATTTTTCATATCGATATCTTTTTCTTCTATTTTTAAACATCTCTCCTGTATTTCATTTTTGTCAATTTTCTCTCATACATATATTTTAAACACTGATCATTCTGAGAGTATCCGAAACAAATAAATTAACATTCATCCATGTGGACGTTGATTGCGGTTGAAAGTGATCAAGAATGTCAGGACACTAAACTCCGTTAGATGCCCTTGCATGGTTTATTCAGCGGCAGGAAGATTGTAACACGTTTCTTTTTGATATATATTGAAATAGTCGGAAATTGTGATGGCGATCACGCGATTTTCATCTGTTTTAAAATTCATAAAAATTAAAAGTATTGCAATCCTTTTGCCACCAACCTATACACATTATATCTATTATAGGCAATATTAAATGTTCTTACCGACCGATCCGTCATTGAGTTGTACTACTTGAAAATGAAAATAATTCATCCGTCGCAAAGTTACGTTTAAAAATAACCCTTTAATTTAATGTATACCAGATATCAGCAATCTGTTAAAATGTGACTAATGCACCACCTAGCGCCATCTAGCCGCATCAGAATTACTGTACTGTACATATAGCGCCTTAAATAACTTAACCTGTACCAATTCTAGTCATTTTTCCATTACTCGCATTACATATTCATATTTTATAACTTATCTAGAGAAACAATAACAATACCTCATATATCATTTTTCTTTGACGTAAATATTTTATATTTTAAGTTACGTACAAATGGTAGTCTATTCGAATAATATTCGAAATATTACTGCTGTTTCTCCAAATAATTCATAAATTCTGGGGTCCCTAGGTCTAGTAAATGTTAAGACGATAACGGCAATTGGTGCAACCAGACGCTCAGTAAGCTCTTGCATCCAATTGGCATATTCTTTTAGATCTGAAAATATACCGCAATCAAATTTAAGGAATATACAAATCTAAAAGGATACACCAATCAGATGCAAGAGTTCACCAACTACGGTTTGTTACTGAATCAGATTAACGTTGCCGTGTAAACGTGGTCATTGTTGTCATAGTTTCGTGTATACACTGTCAGAGCGAGAACGAGAAGCAACTTCGTGACGACGGTTACAGCCTCAGAGACGTCTTCGTCGTTGACATGGACAAGCTCTCGAAACCGCAGATAGTCTGTCACATCGAAAACTCGTTGGACTATTCGCTGTTTGACGTCAAGTGGATACCATGCAGCGCAAAATTTGTAGTGATGGGCGCACGGCCTAAAGGTACCGGCATCATACAGATATACGAGATATGCACCGGCAAGTTAAAATTAATCAAGGACATCGAGAGGTCCAATCAGATGAAATGCGGCACATTCAAAGCTTCCAATCTTGGAAACAGATACTTAGCTACCGGTGATTTCAACGTACGTTTCTTTTTTGTATCTTGTTGGATTACTATTATTCTATGTCCATACTTGATATCTTGTATAACGTTGAGATGCATGAATATAACCGGTTATTTTACAGGGTAAATTAAATATCTACAATCTGGAGGATCCCTCAATTCCAGTTTACAGCGCTAATGCTCATAAGCAGATTATAAACGCTATTGATGGAGTAGCTGGCACTACCGTAGGATGTGGCGCACCTGAAATAGTAACAGGATCCAGAGACGGTAGTGTAAAAGTATGGGATCCCAGGCAGAAGGATCGACCGGTCGCTATCATGGAACCCAAAGAAGGCGAAGACCGACGGGACTGCTGGTCAGTCGCGTTCGGCAATTCCTATAATTCCGAGGAGAGGGTGGTAGCAGCAGGATACGACAATGGTGACGTGAAAATGTTTGACTTGAAGACAATGTCGTTGAGATGGGAGAGCAATCTGAAAAACGGAGTCTGCGGTCTCGAGTTCGACAGAAGCGACATTCTCATGAACAAGCTGGTCGCCACTACGCTTGAATCCAAATTTTACCTGTTCGATCTAAGAACGCAGCATCCTGAGAAGGGCTTCGCATATCTTGTCAAGAAGGTTGGTACCTGATGTCTAAATTCCTATATTCGGCAGATGTCGAATCAGAAATGATCAGTTTGTAATGTTGACTGCTTCAGGCTCACAAATCAACGATATGGCAGGTCAAGCATTCGCCACAGAATCGCGAATTATTCATCACCTGTGGCGGCAGCGGAACAGTCTGCCTTTGGAAATAGTAAATATATTTTCCTGCAAGCTGCAGTTATCATTCATCCGTGTTTATATTATCGAGATCAACGTCAACAACTAATCAATATCTTTTGTTCCGTAGTAATTATCCAGAGAAAAGGAAAACGGTCGATGCCGACGGAATCGAGCAAGGGGTCGTCGGTGACGTCAGCCTGTTGCAAAATTGCACACTTTCGTCGCAACCCATTAATTCGCTGGATTGGTGCCCAGACAAGCAAGGCCTCGCTGTTTGCTCTTCGTTTGATCAATGCTTGCGAATTCTCATCGCTACGAAAATGAACACGTATTGATCAAATATTACATAGGACAAATGTGTAAATATCTCGTATATTCGTATAGAAAAAATGTTCAATTCGCTTTAACATGTTCATCTTGGCGTTATTCATTCTCAAATTCGATCTCTCAATTGGACTTACGATAAGAGAAGTTATTTTTACGCATACGGTAGTCAGATATTTTTTATATTTATTTATATATTATGTATCCGAATATATATATATATATATATAAATCATGTATATCCGAAAGCGCGTAATTTTATACGATAAAAATGGAAAATTGTCCGTTACTTCAACTCGATTGTGAAATTCTGTCTTCAATTCGTGCGAAAGTCGAAGAATTTCACAAGGACTACTAGCGAGATTCAAAGAACGCGCGTGAGAAGGTTCGCGATATCCTCCGGCAGGTAACGCGTCGGCGTTCTGGAAGTCGAACTCGAGATATCGATTTCTCGTGCGCACGCGGGCGCGAAGTTTATTACGCAATGGCGAATGGCGGCGGACAAAAGCGAATTATATGTCATTGGGCCAATCTATTTAGGATCGGACCCTTATTAAGCATCAGCCATCTTGCGCGGTCGGGCGCGAGCGTTACGCAATGTCGCGTCGTATGTCCGCCATTTCAGGCGCGCTCAGCCCACGTAGCTGTACACCTCCGTTGCATCGCGCGAGGGCGCAACGTTCAACCCGAGGCGCAAGCAAGGTCATGAATATCTCGATTTTAATTGCACAAATTAACCGCAGCCGAGTCTGTCTCGCATTGTCGCGACATGTCATTGCCGCCATCGAACGCGACGAGCACATTTCATCCTGCTTACACTCACTACACTTCAAGTCGGTTTGCTATAACTGCACCACCTACACTTGAAGTCGAATAGATGAGACAAACTGTACGTAAATCCCTCGAAATCTTTCTACACGCGATAACTTCATTTTCTTCGATCAAGTTACGTAAGGTGAAAGCGTTTAATATGAACCAACATCCCGGGAAAAATGGAATTTACTTGCAGATTCAGCAACTTATAACTGCGTGAACAAATTCATATTCCAACTTGGCACATGCACGGTCATTAATTTGATTATTGGTTCTCGTCTGCTCTAGCACATATTTGACGACGAGACAAATGTCTCGCGTGTAAAATTTAAACATTAATATAATGAAACGTGACACTTCATCTTGTGTTTTGCGATCTCGCATAATCGGCCAGCCCGTCGACAATTTTTCATATATAATTAATTAGACGTAATTATATAAAATTAATCGTATATAATCACATACGCGCAGGGGATGACTGTCGAAGATATACGGGACTTGTATGAGTGCCCGAACACGTGCCACAACATGTCACTTGGTTTCCATCCAGTTATATCACTGTTGTCTTTAGACATTTTCCAACATTCAAAACAACGTCATTGATGTTAACTGACATCGGTAGTTATTGCTGTAACTCTATTGACAGAAACGTTCAAAATCGCCCGACTATAACTGAAGTATAACACTTTAGCTGCGCATTAAATCGTTTTTACCCGACTATATCTTCGCATGAATGGGAAATTACAACTAACGTGCGTGTTTCCTAATACTTAAACGTTGTGTCGCGTGTTACGCTCCGTTATGTTAGACGGCAACGTGACAGTAGATACGTCTGTGTGTGCCGTGTGGATAGGATATCGCGGACACGCGTTAATCGAAGCAAGGCGAAGGGATACCAGAAGGCTGTTCTGGAAGTATTTTAAGTGTCGGTTGGCTAATTGTACTAGAGAGGTGTACGTATCTCAACGCATACAAGAGTCCGTCGCGTGCTACGTATCAACCGTACACATCGACACACAAAGTATTCACGTAGCGTGCGATACCTGGGCTCCTATTTTCGTGCTTTGATGGCGCACTTGGTGCGGCGGACTCTCCTCGACGATTTGGTCAACGTCCAAGATCCACGCGCTATGGCTTCGTAATACCGCAGGTATTACAAAGTAAAAGGAGGACTCCCCTCGCAACCCCCGGATAATTACCCCGAACGCTTTGCGGCGGTCTCTTTGCTGCCCCACCCTACCCGTCCTGAGTCACCGGGCTACCCATACGTATGATAAACTAGGCGACAGCATTACTTTGTCAAGTCGTAAGGTGACTCTCTGCGATCCAAGACCCGATGCGTTATTCCCTGTAATTTTTCCACAGATTTACACGGAGGAGTGAGATTTATCGAGACTGCCCGTAAGAGACGTTGCATCCAACTGAACGTGAGTCGTCGTCCATCGTCGTCCTTTGCTACTTTACCGCACTGCTGAAAGTTATTACCTTGTCCCTGGTCCTAAGTGGCTTAATAGACACCGGTTTGTACTTCCTGCTGAAGACCGCAACATTGATCTCGGACAGGTTTACCACTAAGGCACCCCTTGATCCCGCGACAATTCTCCGAAATAAACCTCAGGATCCTATTCATCCGGCCCCTGAGGGTTGCCAGAGTCCCCTCAGCCAAAACAGCTAGATCATCAACGTAACCGCAAACAAGGAAATCCTCTTTCAGCAGTTTCTCCGATAGATTGTCGACCCACGAAGCGTTACAAGGAGGGAAAAATTGGTAGGTTAAATGATATTTTTCTATTCGTAAATATAATTTAATCGATAAGAAAAATATTGCGTATCTTTTCCCAGTGAAAAATACGATTATGTCGGGTTAGTAGTCGTTAATACATTTAAATAATCCTCACGTTTGACGATTAATGCATCGATAAACTCACTACTACTTTATGTTCGGGGATTTTGCAGCCAATCTACCAATAATAGTTCGAAAAAGGGTCGAGAGACGAAAAATGGGAAAAATAAAGTTTTTTTTCTTCCAATTTTTGTTTATTTTATAGAAAAATCTTAACAAATTTACTTTCTATGATCTTATTTATCTTACGGTATTAAAATACAGACGGCAGTGGTGAAAGATCTCTGCAGTCTGCACAAGCGTCTTTAACGTGATTTTAAAACGCTAGTTTCTTCATCAGCAGGTACATGTATTGGTCTATCTCGAAACCGTGCAAATTGTTCGCGTCGCCTTGTAGCCTCATCAGCAGACCTCCGAAGGACACGTAGGCTGATCTAGAAACAAAATGGGAAAAGAACACGGTCAATCATAAGCTTGCGTTGAGTCCTGTGTTCGTGTACTGCTGCGGTGAAAAAAAAAAGTTACGAGTGACGCGAGACTGCATAGACAGAGGTAAACTTTTCCTCATTTTCTCCACAATTATTTTATAATATATTTCGATGAATTGTCAGTTGATTACGCGCGACAAATCTTGACGGTGTGATTTGGGCAGCCAGGTTCTTGCTTTCTCGCTTGAAAGTCAAATCAATATTCGTTCCTATACGTTTACGTATTCTATGACATAATTGCTTAGTTTATTCCACTGAAGAGGATCGAAGTCGATCGAAAAATAATTATTTAGAAATAAATATATACACAGTTATCTTGTAATTCTTACGGCATTATAAGCACTGTGCTCGGCTTTCAACGGTCTACTGACAATTTTTTAATTCTACATAACCTTATAATTTATTATTGCAAAGGAAAACGTCGCTAAGAGAATTAATCGATTCGAGTACATCGCTCCGGTGTTATAAAGTTCTTTGAAAAATCGACCAAGCGATTGCCCCGTTCGGGAACGAAACCTGTCCTCATTAAGGTGGCTCTTCTTGCCTGTAGATTTGCGATCGTCATAATTGCAGTGCCGATAGCGGTCGTGTATAATTAACGACACAACCAGCTAACCACACTGCCAACACGCCGATCGCTAAAGGAACTTCTTCCTTCATCGATCAGGATAAAGAGATATCTCCTGCTGAGGATGCTGCAAGATGCGTTATTAGGAAGCTCGATTGATCATTTTACCAATCGTTTAAAGAATCTTCACCCTTTAAACGATCAGAAGCAAGACGCATCCTCCTGTTGAAAGATGCTCTGAAAGGTGTCGTCCGGGAAGCTTGATTGGCCATCTCATCCGTCTTCCTTCGTGCTTTTGCAATGAGTACGCAGGAAATGAAACCTTCACAGCAGACCATCGTTGTGTTGTTTCAGTTGCAGTTGTGTAAACACGTTTACTTGGCGGGTCACGAAGTTCGGTTTAGAGCGAAGCGCAGTCACATTTTCTAATTGAACGCCGAAACAGTGTCGAACGCCGCACAATGAAACAGCGTTAACTCTCTTCAACCAATGGTTGGCAATGAACTGTGTCTTGGGTGCTTACATAATTAATGCCGGCATCTCGGGACGGAGCTTCGATGTCATTTTACGACTCGGGAACGCGCACAAACCGACATTCCTCGTCCTTTCAGTTTTAACATCAAGAACGCGTGACATTCTGAATTTCGGTCAGACATCTCGAGCTTAAAAAAAAACGCACCTTCTTCCGTTACACGTCGGACCGTGATTACCTCGACGGGTCGTTAACGAACGAGACGTTAGTGCCGTACGTAAAATCGAAAGTTGGGGTTCTGCGGAACGAACGGACGACGCCGATATGCGCGATACTTGCGCGCCGATCGCGGAAGCGCCCCGTCCGTCCGGATCCCGATTTCGCGCGACTCGCTTGTTTGCGAAAGAGACGAGAGGAAAATGCGAATGCCTAACCGTCGGGAATACTCGCGTGTGTTTACGAGGTTCCCCGCGATCGATTGACCTTGCCTCTGACAAATCTCTGGCACTAAGAGGCCGTCCCTATAAGAGCCAATTATTTTTAACCAAGTATTTCGAGCTTCCGTTTGCGCGCGCGTCTACTCTCTCTCTCTCTCTCTCTCTCTCTCTCTGCTTCCACTTCTCTTTCTACTCTCCTGCTCTCATCGTCGCGCTTTGCACATTCTTAATTCGTGTGTCTCATGTGTCATATATTTGAAGTCTTCTCAGATACACAACTCTTAGCGCCCAATGAGCGCTCTGAATTAGATATAAATTTAATCGTCCTGTGATCCTAATTTTTTTTTTTACTTTTTGTCCGACCAATTTATCCGCGACATTTATGTAACGCGAAATTGCAGAAATTGATTTTACTTTGTTCGACATTATGTGAAATGCAAACATATTTTGAAATAATCACAGTAGAAAGATCCACTTCTCTTTTACGTTTCTCAACGAGCGTTCCGTATGAATTTTTGAGAAGATTCTTTCTCGGATAATCGATTCAAGAACTTGTGCTTTCTTTTTGAAGTATTTTTAAGTCTGATGATTAACTGGGATGAAACGATTGAAGGATAACTTTTTGTCAATTAAATCTCTCGACTTCCGATTGGTAATTATAACTGAATCGACGAGTGAATTTGTCTCAGTTGAAAATTGACCCTTGTTAATCAATATTTCTGACACAGTGATCTCTTAATATTACATATGAATAAGAAAAAAAAAAAGAAGAATAATGCATTTGCCAAGTGACAAAATCCGAAGCAAGATGTAAATATTTGACGCGCAATCCTCTCGGTGAAAAGATGTCAAACAAGATTTCGCAACGTTACGTTCGCTAAATTCTTTCTTCTGTTCTCTCTACCGTACGAACACCGCGGAAAAGAATTTTCGTATGCCGCAAAATGGACTTTCTTCTCAACTAACTGTAAATTATTCGCTAATAAAGGCGCTGGTGAAATTAAATGAGAAACGCATTGGATGATTTTTATTGCCATTCGAGATACAATATGTGATCCTATGGTTTATAAACGATGCGTGCGTGTGTGCGTGCGCGCATAATTGTACGTTTCGTATGTGCGGACGCTCGATACATGAAACGTGTGTGTGTGTGTGTGTGTGTGTGTGTGTAGGCTGCGCGCATATTCCACCGTTAACAAGCCCCTCGTTACAGACGATCGAACGTCATCATCACAGTCTATTCGGGGAGCTCTGTTGTTACCGGCAATATCGAGAAGAAAAACAAAGAAAGAGAAAACATTCGCAGCGCGTACATTCGTCGCTTGAATAAATCCCCCGCCCCTCCCTCCTCACACAGCGAGTGTATATTGTACAATATATAGAAAAAGGAGTGGCAAAAGGCGACGCTTGGCAGGCGCAATTTTCGCCTGTCGGCGAGATTTTCTTTCTCGCGGCAACACGTACAGCACACAGCTTCGAGTGGACGTTCCGCGCGTAAGAATTAATTCTCCACAAAGGTTCGCCGATAGAGTCAACAGCCGATATCCCACGCTAACTCATCGTCGATTTCCTCGAAATTTGCCCGATGTTTGCGCAACCCACGGATGCCGTTAAATATCGCTAATTACCGCTCCAAACAAACTCCGAATCGAAACTGCCGAGCGAGATTGATGCACTACGGTACTCCGGGACTTGATTAACATCTGTGAAACGCTGCCAGCGTCGGGAGCTTCCTTCAAACACTTCGCTATTATTTACATCGCGTATGATTATAATTATAACTATTCCTCGAACGGTAACTAGATAGATCTCACGTAGGAGGATGCCAAATGCACTCGTATTCGCCGTTTTTACGGAGCGAACTCCAGCGGGACAATCCCGAGGAACAATCGCATACAATCGTCGTTCGTTCGCTTTCCACGCAGCAGGGATTATCCGCACTCACAGTCCGTACATTCGTGTGTTGATTCTTATTTACACTATACGGCACTAAACTAAGAATCGACGTTGTAATCACTCCGTCGCTGATGCCGGCGACAGAAGAGATGTCGTACCAGATAGTGCATTTACAGTATTCAGGGCCCGTGTAAACGCGCATCTGGCACGAGCCCCAACTGCCCTGTAATCTCATATTGGCTCGCTTCCGCTCGTCTCGCTCTCTCATGCCCTTTTCTCTCTCCTTTTTTTCTCTAGCTTATCCGTTAATTTCCGCATTCTGTTTGCCTCCCCTCCTCTCTCTCTCTTGCTCTTTCTCACTCGCTTACTCCCTCGGTACCCTTTCACCCCCTCCCTCTCCATCACCGATGTCTTTATTTCGCCCACATGGCGTAAGGTGCTACTTTGAAATATAATTAAAACGTCATAACATGAAAAGAATGGCGCCCGTGATTAGACAATGACGCTGGATTCGCCGTTTAATCACAGTTAAATGTAAAACGTAAACTTACATAACGGTGTGTCCGAGTCACGCGATTAAAACGCACGCGTAATTAAATCTTCGCTCCGCGACGCGACCGAGAATGTAATTCGCGTTTGTCGTTAATCCCGCATGTCGTGCGCACGGTGGATTTTAATTAAGCTCTCTCTCTCTCTCTCTCTCTAAGGTGAGGGGAAAAGTCACAACTGCTTTCGCAGTGAAAACGGCGGTGCGAAGAGTCGAGGGTTTCCTCGGCCGAACCAGCGGCGTATTCCAGAAGGATGTCAGCTGATGCTATTTTCCCCTCGAAGCGCGAAACGAGAAGAGGACGACGCTTCTAATAATAGTAGTCACTGTCCCCGGTGCCGCGACGCTCCGGCGTCGGGACGCGTCGCATCATCGTGCTAACCACGCGAGTCACGTTAACGCACACGCCTCTCCTCTCAACGCTTTCAGACGGTTAATCTTTTCAGAGACCTGTCGATGCACCTCAAGGGCATCACCGGCGATGCTACCGAGTCGATGGGATCCCGTTACTTTCGGCTCGTTTACATTTCATTCATGATTCTACATTGCAAATATATCTTTCCGTATTTACGCGCGCGGGATAATCCGTTTGAACTTAATCGTCGAGAGGCGGGAAGATTCCGTCGACCGAATCTCGCGACGAACTTACATCCGGCTGAATTTTATTACGACGATCAAACAGAAAATTCAATTATCCGTCGAGGCAGCAGCAGCCGAAATTCGCTCACGTGCACAGCCGCGATTTTTCGTCGCGTGTCACGTCGTCATGGCCGAAACGCGGCGGATTATCGCGTGCGACCGACTATTCACGCGCGTCGCGTTTCGACCGATATATACATGGATTCGCGCGCGTTCGTCGCGAATAAACTGTCGTATATCGCCGCACGCTACGCTGTTATTCAAGGACGATTGGTATTATAACATTCGATATCCTGAACCTGGAACGATCGATCTCGCTCTGCGGTCCGATATCGGAGAAACCCAGCTGTCCGTGTACGGACTCAAGACGTTCGTGTGACCCATATTTATTTACGCGTTTATTCGATAAAAATCAGAAGAAAAAAAAAAGCGTTCATTCGTTATCGGAAAGCGAAAAGTATTCGAGCAGAAAAATCCCTCTCGGCACGTTGGAGCCGCCGAATAAACACCAGAGACGCCACGTGAACGAAGGACGAAGACGAGACACGAGGAAAGAAGATACGCGGTTTCACGTCTCTCCTTATAACATCCTTCCGCCCGGCGCAGAACGACATCGATTGCTGGAATCGGCCCAGGATGCAAACGTGCTCTCGAGGTCACGGGTTCACGGAATCGCTGCACCAGCCCGCCCCCGGCCGCGCGACTCAGCACGAAAGGCACCAAAACGTCGCGGCAATTCACAACGGTCGTGTGGGAGATTCAATTACCGGCCGTCCGCCCACGTTCATAGCGAGCGCGTTCCGAGCGGAAAATCACGCGCGAAGATCGAAGCGTCCAACAACTCCCGGCAAGATGGCGGTCGCGATGGTCGAAAAATCGCGGCGCAGATGCGAAACACACACACGCACTCTCTCGCTCCTTCTCTGGAGGGGCGGAGGGGGGGAGCTCCGAATTCGCGATTCCGAAGGCGCGCGCCGCGCAGTCCGATGCAGTGCGGCAGTTGCGTGGCGTCGACATCGATTATTCACAGCGTGATTAAACAGCAGCGACTGCGGCGTCCGCCGCCGGTGCGACTGCATCAACGACACAGCGGGGCAGGGGGAGGCAGGCAGGGAGGAGGGGGCCCGAGTGCAGTCGATCAAGTCGGTAGTTTTAGAGCGCGGCGCGGTTGCACAATACCTCCGCGCGACCTTGCGCCCGCAACAGGTGCATAGCGATCCAAAATTATCCCCGCCGGCAGGTGATTCCGTTTGACCGGTTGCGGAATTCGCTCGACCTTCCGTGCGCAATCGACGATCGGATTACCGAGATGCGTCGACGGAGCGTCGTTCAATCTTTCTTCCTCTCTTTCCGGATGTTGAAGGGAACGATGCTCGCGTCGCGATCGCCAGTACCGAATACGCGAATGACGACGGGAAGCCACGGAGGATCAACGGCGATCCGATCGTTGACGACGGACGCGGGGAGGATGCGACGGCAGGAGCGAGAGAGAGAGCCCAGGGAGACAATTGCGATTTATGAGCGCACTAGTCGACCTGCTAGAGCAGCGTTACACAATCACGACCTTGGACCCGTGAACGCGGAATTTATCGCGCCGTGTAAATCTCCGCTCGGAATGGAAATCGATCTCCGGGGAGCAGCGGGCGGGCGGTGGCCGATTTCCCGAGGCGGGCCGATTACCTTCCGTACGTCCGCGACGTAGTAGCAACGAGTGTGCCGTGCGAGGACGCGCGAGATCCGCGAGAGGGAAGCGCGGAAATAATAGCACGACCTACATTTCGCGACGCGCTATTCGAACGGGAAGGGGCGAGGAGAGCGCGCGCGACGACACGCGCGCGACGACTAAACGGCGACTAGAGCGATTCTCGACTGAAACCCGGCCGCCTAGAGCAGGAGCCGACGAGGGTCGCCAGCTGCAGCCGGCAGCTAGCGCTAGCCCTGAGTAGATATATAGTGGAAACGTCTCGACGTTGCCAGCCGCCGCGGCTGGCGTTGTTATACAATCCGCGTGAGTACGTGCGTGCGTGCGTGCGTCTAGCTCTGCTCTCTGTCGAACGCCCGTAAGCCAAACCCGTAAAAGGTGCGTGCGTTACGCGGACGATGATTCGGATAACCCGAAATTTACGCGTAATTCGCAGTTTCGCAGCAGCATTCCACTTTATGCCTGACATTTACGCAGAAAAAAGGGGGGAATGCCAGCTTCGAGTAAATCATTTTACTCCGATACTTCTCGGCGATTTTTTTTACTCGATCGGGTTAATATTTTATTCGCACGTAAGATCGGTGGAATTAACGTGATAACGGGCGAAGCGAACGTTTCGATCGAAGGGAACGAAGGGATTTCCGGTTCTTCTAAAGCCAATTCCGGTCGCGAGAATCGGGAATTCCGTCTCCTTCGATCAAAAGGCGTTTACTGGTCGCATTAATTCGACCAATCGGTTTTCTCCGTGCGGACGTTTCAAATATCTTGCTTGGAGCAATGAATTAAAGATTACTTGATTCAAGTAAAAATGCGCGAAGGAATATTAGAATAATGATTTCCTCGAGTCCAGCACTTTCTTCTGCACATTCTTCAGGTGATAGCGTTCTCCTCGGTGACGCACGAGGTTACATTATCGCATTCACCGGTGATATTTGTGCAAAAATGCCTGAAGTTGGATCGCACGTAACTCTGAAACTGCGACCGACATTTCGACGGCGACCGAGGTGCGTGTTCGAAAATGTCGAGAACGAAACTGCAGGACACTAATGACGCCGTGTGGCACTTTGAGAAATTCACTCGCTCGCTTTCACTCGGGCGCACCACGCACAGGCGTTAATTAACGCCGCGAGAGAACAAACGCGGACGTGCACGCGCGACGGGATGCACTTCGAGGCGGTACGTTTCCCAATTTCGGCGAGCTTTCGTCCGCTCTGTTCACGGGACGTCGAAATCTAACGCCTCTGGTCATACATCTACACCGAGTATATTCGTTTGTGAGACTAAATATTTCCCTAGATTCAAGATGAAAAATTTCGGCACTTGGGGCTACAAAACTCGAGAAAAACGGATCGTTTCAGAACACGGTTTACAGCGTAAACAAGCTGAAAGTGCGGAGATCGGTCGAAACAAAGTGCGAGAAGGGGACGATACGTTGGGCGCGGTGATAAGAAGGAGAAGAAGAAGGGCGGAGGAGCGCGAAACAACGGTGACGCGCGTGGTGAGAAATCCGAAGCGAGAGCGTCGCGATAACGGTGTAATTGGACCACTTTGCCGCTTAAACGAGCTTAACGATCGATTCTGCCTTGCTTGCACCGCGTGCAATCCCGGTGTGTCTTCCATGGCGGCAGGCGCGCGACCAACTCCGCGACGAGGACGTCCGTTCTGCCGTTCGCGTCCTCAACCCGTGTGCTACCCTACGAACTATTACTATTCTCCCCGATACGATGGTCCGAACGGTCCGAAGAGAAGAGGGGAAAAAAAAAAAGAAAGGAAAGAAGACGACCGCTGCGAGATCGCACGGCGAACTAGGCGCGACTACGCGAACGGACCGACACGTTGCGCCCGCGATGGCCCAGGCTGAGTGCCGACGGCGATTATGCAATCGGTGGCCGAAAAAGCCGTGCCAAGCTGCGTGGCGCTGGGCCACGATGGATGTACACACACGTTCGTCTCTTCCCTTCCATCCACCTAACCTCGAAACTCCTCGTTGCCCAGTGGCGATATGTGTCGCGCCGGGGTGGTCCCGTTATTCTCGGGGTTGCGAAAAAGCCTAGGATTATTTGGCTCGCCCTAAAGATGCACGAGCGCGCGTGCGAGTCGGCCCCTTCCCGCCCACTCCCCTTCAACCCGTTCGAGCTGACCTTTGAGAGTGTTGCATCGAGCTGTTATTTTCGAAGCCCCGCTCTTCCAACCCGCGACACAGGAAATCACGTCGGTGTTGGATGTCCGATTGACCGATTAAACAGCGCCGCGATAGACGGGCTCGCAGCTCGCGGCTTCTCTCTCGTCTGTTTATCGAATTAATCGATATCGAGATCTAATTGCCCGATCATTCGCTCAATCGCCGAAGTGTCCGGTTTAACGTAAAGAGAAGCTCGTATCGAATCAAGGGAGTTTCCTCAAGACGTGCATTTTTTTTTTAGGATATCCCGTGCGAATGAATCCTCAAAAATCCGTACTTAGGAAGATCCCTTAGTTAGAATGAAAGCTCTATTGTTATTTGAAGATCTGTCAGGGAGACAGATCGAAAAGTTACTATTGCTAGTCGTTCATCGTCATTTATTATTTTAACTGAATGATCACTAAGCCAACACATTAGTGTTTGTTAAAGCAGCAAATTACAAATACAAGTTACTCGCTCCCATTTGTTACAATATAAACTTTTCCTCATGCGATATTTATATATGACACACGAACTATTCCCCTTTTATTTACGATTGGATCCTTCCTTCTTGGGCCCCCGAATAATCTTTTTATGATACTAACTTCGAACGTCTGCAATTTCCAATTAACGTCCGTTTTGAAATCGCTATTCTGTTGTTTCAACTTCCGCACGGCTTAGTTGTAGAGCCGAGCACTCGGCGATTAATATCGAAGAAATTAATGAAAATAGCACTCTCACCTACATCGTTTTAGAATACTCGGCTCAGTTGCGATATCGTATCTCTATTTGCAAATGTTACGCAATAGACCGCGTGCGAAATTAGCGCGAGAATATTCTCCCCGGGCCGATTAATTAAACGAAACTCGTTACTGAGCTCCCTACCGACGCCGCTCGGATCGCTTTATCGCCCGGAGTCGCGGATAATACCGGAGTTCGGCTTGCATGAAATTAATCCCGATTTGCCGACCGGCTTCGGTTCAGTTTCGCGTCAACGACGACGAATTCCCGCTGATCAGCGACGGTTCTACGGTTATATATTCGGCGTTTACGGCAGATTCGTTCTCGCTTCGCGCGCGAATCGCAGCGGAATTTCCCGAGCGAAAAAGACAGCCTTTCTCACCACTCCTGGGAAAAATACATCTTCCGCGTATGCGCATTGACGAACGGTCTTAACACGACGGCACGCTATGTGTCGTGATGAATTAACTTCGCAGATAGGATAGGGTCGGTCGAGGAGAGAAGCACTGATGAACGACACGGTGCCTCTGAAAATGGGACAGGCCGAGAACGGAGGATTCTTTCATATCGAATGCGACTCAGGTTTACCTTATCCTCGCGACTATCCTCACGGGGAACACGTGACCGGGACAATATTGAAAACAAGATAAGTGACACGATTCTCTTTCTTGAATACGAGACAAGTGACATAATTCTCTTTCTTGAAAGGAAAAAGAAACGAATGCAGAGACGCTTTTAAACGAAACGCGCGTCAATTAACGGCTATTACCGCCTCAATGAAGTGTCACGAGACGAAGAGGGGAATTATTTATAACAAATCGATGAGCGGAATCGAAGGGGAATGCGACCGGGTGGAAAACGCGCGGAGTCGCAGCATTCGGGGAGAATCGACTCGTCGAATTTCCCGGCCCCTGAAAACTACCGCGACAACTGACGGCGTCGCGTCGCCAAACGTGCCTGGTTTTCGGCACGGAATCGCGCTTTCTTTCTTCTCTCCTTCCTTCTTTTCCCTTCGAGACTTCCGTATCGAGCTTCGGGATATATGGGTCAACCACTGCCGAAACGATCGATGCGCGTCGTCGACTCGCGAACGTCGCGCGCGGAGGAGCCATCGGACGCGTCCAATAACGAGCCGACTCGCGCGAGTTTCCGCGGACGGGCGCGACCCGACCTTCATCGTCGACCGGTATAATTGCTGCTAATTATCGAGCGCACGCTGCCACGCACGTGCACTTTCGCGGCTAATCGAGCGCGTCGCAATACGGGCGAATCGCCCATGAACCGCTCGGCGGCTCCTTAATATCGCAACAAGATCGCGAGTCGTAACGTCCCTTTAACAGCCAGCCCGATAACGTTATTGAATTTTTCACGAGCTTCTCGTTCTTTCCGCGCCTCCGTCCGGAGTAATCGCCGCCTCGCGAACAACGCGGAATCGAAGCTCCTTTGTAATCGGCGTAAACGATCTTTCCCGGAGATTTCCGCCGAGAGACAGCTTAAAAATGCACGACACTGTGTCATTAGCGAGACGCTGACAATCTCGAGCAAGATTTTTCCAGCCGTTCTCCTCTTACGTATTCACCCGACAGTTACCTGAGCGTGAAGAACGAACGCGCCTGTGACTGCGTGTGACGCAGAATCGGAAGAGTCATTGAAATTGCAAAAGAGAGAGACGTTGCGCTCCCGCGTCAACGCACAAAGTCTAAGCGTCTAAGATCTCGTTCCGCGTACGATAAGGCCGGCAATTTTACAATGAACATCGACGGAAGAACTTTGCGCTCGCCGTTTTGATATCTGACTTCCCCCGCGATCGTAAGGGCAAGTGCGTAACGCGATCGCGCCCTTGAAAAGGCGCGATCGAAAAGAAGTCCAGAAGCACGGACAGGTGGGTGGGTGAACGCAGCGATCTCCCTTGGCAGGCAGGTGTGCGGCACCGAGCAACCTGGGCCGACTTAATCTTAGACCGCTACTACTACCGTATCTCGCCGCTCATCACCACCACCACCACACGACGCCGTTGGCACAGAGTCCCTCATCGTCGCGTCACTTTCATCATCGACCGGCGGGAAACGC